CCTTCTAATGAGCAGCTGCTCTGCGTTACTGGAGGCAGTTTGCAGGCCCAACGCAGATGTCTTTGGTTCAATGGAGGGACCTAGCCACTCACAAGTGTAGAGGTCCTGACTCCTTGCTAACTGTGGGAAGAGGATATGCTTATTTTCCCAGGAACTGAGCTGCAGCCTGTGTGGATACCTACTCGTAAAGTCCTGGACTCCATTCACTGGAGGAAGTGCCTGCAGTAAGACAGCTTCATGACCTCTTTCTGAAAGATCCATCACCATCAAGGAAATATTGGAGGAGAAGGACAGACCCCTCCCAATACCAGGTGATATGGGAGATTCTAAGAGATTGGTGCATCAAGCACAACTGTCCCTGACATGATGTACTTGATAATACAACTGAATGATTGATACTGTGGAACACTAATAATCTATGGGAAAGGTTATGCTCTTGTCCCTAGAATTTCCTGATAGATCTTCAAAACTGTGATAGATCTTCAAATCTTCCCTATGGCTCATCTGACCTTGGAAGTGCAGCAACTCCCTTCAACGCAACGCTGCCCCTGGAGAAAATGGAACCCCCAGTGGAACTGCCTCTAAGAACTGAAAACTAAATTGGTTTAATATTCCTCTTGTTCCACTACAGGTCAGGAGTGCAGAGAAATTCTCCACCTTCTTAGGATGTTTGAGGAAGACTTAAAGTGTAACTTATTATTCATAGATAACAAATTCTTGACTGCCTTAGACATTAGAAAAGCCACATTAATTTGCAGCGGGATCCAAGGACGACTCTGACACCCTCTTATAGGAGGTTGTGTGCACAGAGCAGGAAGGGATCTCAAGGCGGAGAAGGAGGATAAGAGGAGTTCTCTATCCTAGTCCCAGAGACCCCCGGAGGTCTCCCATGTGCTTTCACTACAGAAGCAGTGGATGCCTGCCTCATCAAGGAGGACCTTATCCCGACTGCCAAGGGGATTACAAGGAAGGTGAGTGCTCTTGGAGGCCGAGAACTCTGAGGTCAGTCCTTTCCTAGTGAATTTCCCACACGGGATTGAAGCAGCCCAGTTCCCTTGTGATAGGGTCTGGTGACATCGGAACTTCAGCCAGGAGCCCCGGGTGGCACTCAGAGACGACTGGACTCAGGAGGAGCTTGCTCTAGTTCTTACCTAGCTCCAGCCGTGGTTCCCAGCCCTCTCTTACACCAACCATCAGGGTTGCTTGTGAGCCCCAAAATTATTTTAGATACTAGAGACTAATAAAGGTCAGCTAACTGGTAATCACCCAACTTGTACCTAACTGATAAGGCTACAGAGAGACATGGATAGAACATTTGGAACAGTCAGAAAAAAGGCCATTAACTTATAATCGCTCAGCCTGTACTTACTGGTCAGGCTCCCTATTTGCTTTTCATGGACTTTACTAGGTTAGGATATAGAGTTAAATTCTTCCTCATTCACTAGGTTGTTGGAGATTTCCCTGCTCACCTGCCTAACGCTTTTGTATGATTTGGTAGAATTATAAGACTGTTTTGATTATCCTAAATGCATAGAAATCTGTAAAATCACACTTCAATTATATAAATGGCAAGGCTTAAATTGTTAAGTTGAGATTCTCCCCAAAACTTTCATCAACTGTTAATACTAACTGTATAGAAACTATGATGTTAAGTTTATACTCAGCTGTTACATATGATGGATGTTAACTGTTCACTGTCCCTGTGCAACTCTGATTTAGGTTAGCTCGGGAGAAATTATAGCTGTTAATATATATAACATTGTTTCTCCCCATTCTTCTGCTCTTCCAAGAGCATGTTCCCCCAGCTACAAGTTTCAGGCTTAATTTTATAAAACACAGAAGGGGGATTTGTAGGAGGACATTGTGAGCCTGGAAGGTCAGCGAGCACAGGTTTGCAGTTCATTGGACAGTATTTGCATGTCAACAACCAAATGGCTACCTTTGGTATAAACAGCATGTAAATGAGAACACCTGGTGGGATATACAAAAAAAAAGGAATTCCAATCAAGAGAGGGAGACAGTATGGACTCTCAGTGTATAAAGTCTGATGTCCCTAATAAACTTCGGCTTTGACCATCAGTCAGGGTCCACGCGTGTTATTATCGGCTCCGTGCACCAAGTCCGTCGCTGCGGGACAGCGACAATGCACTTTCAAAGAAATGCCCTGAAAAGCTCAGCTAAGTATTAAATAGGGATTCTATAATCACAGGTACATTGACACAGGAATCCCTGCAGGGCAGAACCAGCAATCTTCTGAAGTGTGTAAACATGCAATTGTTACATCTGATCCAGACAACCCATGGTCCAAGCCTAGGAAGCACAAGTACGGAGAGATATGTGTTCAGTGGTTTTTTATGGCTAATTGGTCTTGAGACCCTCATTTCTAAGTTATGATTACTACTTACAAAGAAAACTGGTTTTAAAATACCTCACTAACTACAAAGACAACCATTAAGTAGAAGCACTAACCATGGAGCACTCACTTCAGTACTTCATATGCTGTACTCTATTAAAAACAAATTGGCAAACCATATAAGCTAGAATGAGTCTGGTAGAGTTAACTTAGTGTTAACTATTTCCATTCCCTGAACCAGAAACTCATAAGAACACCAAAATGTGTATTTCAACATTCGTTCCAAGCAACATCAGCAGATATGTCATTTACTCAAGATTAGCTGTCCTTAAGTCAGGTTCAGAACTTGAGTAACTTCAGGAAACAAAGGGGTAAAGGAGAGCTAGGATACTATTATCTCTGGGGCTTAAAAACAGGAAGAGCTCCTAGTCCCACATGTAAAGCCAGATTTCTTCATGACCTTGAGAAAAACCTCGTGGTCAATTTCCTGCTGTGTTAATGCTATTAAGATTAGAGTATTGGGCCTGCCACTATAGCGTAGCAGCTAAAGTCTTTGCCTTGAACATGTTGGGATCCCATATGGACGCTGGGGTGGCCCACTTCCCATCCAGCTCCCTGCTTGTTGCCTGGGAAGGCAGTCGAGGACGGACCAGGCCTTGGAACCCTGCACCAACGTGGGAGACCTGGAAGGGGCTCCTGGTTCCTGGCTTCAGATTGGCTCAGCTCTGGCTATTCCAGCAGCTTGGGGAGTGAAACATCGGATGGAAGATCTTCCTCTCTGTCTCTCCTCCTCTGTGTTCCTGCCTTTCCAATAAGAATAAATAAATAAATCTTTTTTTTTTTTATTTTAAGATTTATTTTTATTATTATTTTTTATTGGAAAGGCAGATATACAGAGAGGAGAGACAGAGAGGAAGATCTTCCGTCCGATGATTCACTCCCCAAGTGAGCCGCAACGGACCGATACTATGCCGATCCGAAGCCAGGAGCCTCTTCTGGGTCTCCCACACGGGTGCAGGTTCCCAAAGCTTTGGGCCGTCCTCAACTGCTTTCCCAGGCCACAGGCAGGGAGCTGGAAGGGAAGCGGGGCTGCCGGGATTAGAACCGGCGCCCATATGGGATCCCGGGCGTGCAAGGCGAGGACTTAACCACTTGCGCCACCGCGCCGGGCCCAATAAATAAATCTTTAAAAAAAAAAGATTAGAGTATTTGTGATTTAGTGCTACTGGCTCCTTAGCATGGAAAATAACCCTTGAGGGGTATACAGCAGGTTAAGCAGTGTAATTCCCAGCTGTTCTACTTCAAATTTAGCCTGCTAATGCACCTGGGAGGCAGTAGAAGTCCTGGACACTTAGACCCCTACCACCATTTGTGGCTTCAAATTGGCTGACAAGCCCATATTGGGATTGAACAAGAGGATAGAAGAGCTCTCTTTCCCTGTTGCTCTTTCAGATGAAAGGCAAGAATCCCTGAAATGTACAACCAAAAATTTCAGTTTTGATACCAAAAACAAAAAAACTACAGAATTTCAGTTTTCTAAAAAAAAAAAAAAGGTAATACAGAAACAATGCAAGTTTCTTATAGAAACTTTCAGAAAAATAGCTGTTGGACTTGCAAAACATAACTTTATATAAAGCTTTGTTAACCTGAAAAATTCTTTGAACTCTAAAACTTTCATGAGACAAACGTTGTTGTCAGTTAGTTGTGCAGTGTTCAGGGCAGGTATTATTATGACCATTATTCGCCCAACATGAATATGCCATTGAGTGCAAAGAATCACAAAAGTTTCTTAAAATTTTAAAATAACACTCATTAATGATATTCAAAGGGTCCTAATACCTTGGAACAGATAGTATCATATTTAAAAGCATATCTAAGGACAAAAGAGAAATCTTAGTTTCTTGCTGGAACCTTGAAAATGGATAAATGTGTAGAAAATCAGTTCCTACAGTATTTCTACTAACTTCTTTCAGAGGAATGACCAAAGTTGATTTTAACGACATCTGCGGGCACTTGGAGACATGTGTATTGGCTGACACAGCTCTTGGAAATAAGTGATGTAATACAACAGTGGTTATAAACACGTACTTGCAGCAAGTGTACAAGAGAACCAGGTACAAATTTTAATTCCATATCACTTAATTATTGAATAAGTTACTTAATCCATCTACACTTGTTTTTTTGGGGGGAGTACAAAATTGATAAAAGTAATACCCATCTTCCCGGACTGTTTGGGGAATAAATGGGCTGTGTGTCAGCATACTATAGGCATTCCATAAATAATACATTATCCACTCCTCAGTTCCTACCTGGTTTTCCTTTTGGGTGCCTCTGTGAGGTGGAAGGAAATAGCCAATGTTGCCACTGCAACTTTACACTGGGGGAAGTCCCAGCCCCTTCCTTCTGCGGTCTGAGCACTGAGTGCAAAGCCACTGTTTCAGGTGCTGTTTGGCCTGATGGCTCATGAGCACTGGAGAGAGGACTATTAAGTGTTTCAGCACACGAACTGACAGCCAAGAAAGGAGCATAAACATGCTGAAAGTGAAGGTACAATCGCTTCAGAGTGGGCAAAATTCTTAATTTAGCCTGGTCTGCTTTATCCTAGAATTTGGAAAAGATCATGCTCTGAGAAAGGGGAACCACTTACTTGTCCTGAATTTTTCCTTGAGGGCATCCAGGTCCTCCTTGAGAGCAACCTGCATCCACACCAAGCCAACGCAGGCCATGACACAGGCAGCGAGGATGACAAAAGCACAGAGTGGGTAACAGATCTTGCAGCATCGTAAATAGTCTCCCCTGATGTAAGAACAAATCCAACCATGAGTACGAATGTGGTCATGAGTGCTGGAGAGCTCTATTGGAAACAGCATACCCGAGTTGCCATGCAATTATCTTCTCTAATGAATAACTAGTGGATTTTCCAGGGGAGATAGGATAATGCACTTCAATCTGAACAGCAGATTGAAAATGATTAAATAATATAGCCTAAGCAGAGTCTCTCTACTGACTATGAAGGTTTCAGACTTCACTTGAACCTGAGGGAGGGCTGTGGGTCACGGGCACACCTGCAGGCACTACTGTTGCTATCAACTCAGGGACAAAGTCTCTGAAGACAAGCTCAGGTTAGAGAAGTCTTTATAAAGACCGGAGCTTCTCTGCAATTTCATCACTGCACTATAATTTGCCTACCCATTTCTCTGTTTCAAACACACACCCACTCACCCAAGGCACCTGTTTTAGTCTACTGAAACTTCATAAACTTTTGAGCAAGTTTTAGCGCAAGCAGAATGGAAGAAATAAGATCTGTAGGGTTAAGTGGACACCTGGTATATACTCTAGCTTATCAGCTGGGAAGGAAACAGAAAGCAGCTAGATTTCACACTGTACCTCAACCAGCTCTCAGAATGTAAACTAACCTGTTGGGCTAAGTATTCTAGGATGGACACATCCTAGCAGTCACACCTCCACATGTGGAAGGCCCTTAGCCACCTAAGCTAAGTTCTTAGGGCCCAAACTCTAACAACATAAAATCGCAGACATTGCACTCCACCTTCCCACATCCTCAGCAGAATCCCCTTTCTTTGGGTGCTCCTCCTGAGAGGGCCCAAGGGCAGGCTCCCTTAGACCTTTCCTACCATGGTCCCAAACACCCAGCACTCATGAAGCTATCTGATTTCTCAAAACGGCTTTGGGGAAAAAGGTCTCTCCAACCGGGCTCATACATTCTATATCACCTTGCTCATCAATTCCTCCTCGAGACTTAGATCCATCAAGGTGCAAAAAAATCATTTGCAGTCTTAATGTCCCCCCCCCCTTTTTTTTTTTTTTTTCTTCCAAATCTGAGTCTGAAAGCTCTCTGCCTGTCTCTACAGTCCCCTGGGCTCTTGGCATATTCCCCAAGTTGCATTTCACCCCATGTTAGCAGCCCTTCTTTCCACACCTAAGGGCAGAACTCCAGTTCTAAAAGATCCGAACTTCTCCCTAGCACCTTTTGTTCCTCTTGGCCTTCCAAAGTTTACACTCCCTTCTTCCCATGGACTTACTTCTCTTCCCATCCACGTGCCCTCCTGAAGGCCAAGGGGGTGCCTGTTCCCCATCCCATCCTTTCCCATCACCTCACTCACTTGACAAAGCGCGAGCGATTTCCAGCCACACCAAACTCCTCTTCCTCCTCGGAGCTGGACTCTGTGTCCGAGTCAGGGGGCTCCGTGCGAAGCAGTCGGTGGCTGCTCGAGCCTTTCTTGGATTTCTTTCGGCGGCTGTCCCCAGCCAAGCCGATCAAGGCATTGAGCTCTCTGCGTTTCTTCATTTTCTTGTGCGGGGTGAGTGGGGCCGCCACTCCTGAGCCGCCAGGTTCGTACCCGACGCCCAATTCCCTGGCTGTCTTGCAGTTGCCTTCCAGGGTGGGGAATCCCGGGCCAGAGCCCCCTGGTCACTCCCACCCTGGGGGTGGGACTGACTAGAACCGCTGGGGGCTGGAGACTGGAGCCCAGAGCAAACTGGGAGCTCGGATTTGAGGGTCGGAGTGGGGGGCTGCGACGGGTGGGATCACATACAAGCAACCCTGGAGCTTGTGACTCAAGTGGATAAGGTCCTAGGCATGCGGTGTCAGCTACGCGCAAAGGGGGCGTCGGGAGGCAATCTTTATCTCCCAAAGGGGATAAAAAGCCAAGTCAAGAACGTGAGATTCTCGGCCCCGACACGGGGTCTAAGTGTCCCCACGGAGCTAACGAGGAACACAAGGGCTGATGACTTCTGGAGACGCGGGACAAGCTTTCCAACGGAGAGGGGAAAGAAACTTGTTCTTGAAGCGGAGCAGCGCAAGACGCTGGGAACTCGATAGTTCCTTCCCGATCTGACAGGTGGATGCAGCAAGGGCTCCCGGCAGCCACGACCCCTGACTCCTGCCTGGGATGCCGGCTTGGGGTGTGCGGGGACCGCCGCGCTCTCTGAGTGTGAGCGCCAGGCTAGGAGGGCCCAGCCCCGAAGGGAGTCAGTTCTGTGATGGCGGGGACCCCAGCCCTGAGGGTCGTGGGGCGCGGTGCTGAGGGCCACTCCTGCCGCAAGGACTCTCAGGTGTTCCGCCACCGGCGACTCGTGGCAACTCACACGCACCGCCCCCACGTCAGCCGCGACTCCGGTTCCCGCTCCGGTTCCGGCCGCGCCAGCTCCCGACAAGCAGGTGGCGGCGGCGGCGGAGGCCGCGGGGTCCAGACCGGGGCCATCGCTCCAGCCCCGGCTCACTTCCCCCTTGGCAGCGGCCGCCGGCACCGCCTGCCAGTAAGCCGTGTTCCCATTGGCGGTCCTCCGGGTGACGTCACCCCAGGGGACGAGTGGGGTGGTGGGAGGCGGGGCCTTAAAGGGGCACAGCCTAGCCAGTTGGGGAGGCCCCGCCCCTCGGGGCGCCGCCTGGGGCAGAGGCTCAGCCGAGCCGCGCCCGATTTCTGGTTCCGGAGGCGCAGGGGTGCGGTGGACAAGAATCAGGTGGTAGTGCACCTGCGTGGAGACTTCCTCTGCCTCCCTCATCCCCAGTTGTGTACTGAATTAACCAAGCCTAGAGGCGCCGCCCCCTGACTCGCAGGTTGTTTACTAAAAGTTTATGCGTCCTTCAGATTAATGACCCAATTGAATGTACGCAGTCATCCAGCAAATATGTATTGAGAAATACGTGTCGGAAGCTGTTGTAGAGCTGTGTATGCACCGATGAACACCATACGCACTCTCTTTTGGCCTTCCTGTGTGGGGTTACCAGCCCTAGCAAGCAGAAACACGACAATCCAACACAGTTTGGATTTCAGATAAGCAACAAATCATTTTTTAGTGTAAGTGGATCCCCTGGGATATCTTCGTCCTGAAAGATGCTCCGTGTTTTCTCTGAAATTCATGCGTAGTTGAGCATCATGTATTTTACCTGCCTTTCTGTTCCTGCAACTTAACAGTAAATATTGTGAAGGCACGGGGTGAGGGAAGAATGGACCCAAGACAAATTGAAGGGCAGGGCTGGTGGTCAGACACTCAGCAAACGAGGAGTAGGCTGGGCGATGGCTGCAGGAAGAAGTGACCAGGATGGGGATGTGGTAGGACATGAAACTGCCAGGTCAAGATCTTGCAGGGTGATGCTTCTGTGTTGGGCCTCTGGGAAACAACAGAAGGCTTTAGGCTGAGAGGAGGCATGCTACGGATTTCTAAAAATCACTGTAGCTATCCTGTGGAAATAAAAATCAAGGAGAGTGAGGGACACAGAAGGCCAGGTGCTCGGGTCCAGCTAGAGATGACCACAGATGGGGTGGCAATGGGGAACATTCTGGGTGTTTCCTGAGGATCGAGTGACAGTATTTGCTGACGCTTCGGATGAAAGGTATTAAAACAAATGGCAGGGATGACTCCAGGGTTTGAGGTGGGACAACAGGACAACAGGAAGAAGTCAGAACTGAGCCCCGGGGGCTGGGGGGGGGGGTTTTGTCCAGCAGGTTTGGAGTGAGCTTAGATGTCAGGTAGGTTGTATATCCCCAGGGAGTTCTGGGCAGAAATTGAGACCTGCAATATAAATTGAAGAGTCATCAGACACGATGTTTAAAACAAAGTGCTTTGAACTATATAGAAGAAAAGTCACTTCAAGTAATTTTTAAAGAAAATTTTATATTTTTAAATATTGTTTACATAGTTGGGAAGAATGCACGCCCATGTGAGCCTCTGATTGGGGGGCAGGGTTACGTTTGGAGGAAGGTGGGTGGGACACATTTCAGGATTTTTTTCTCCTGTGTCTGTAAGGGAGGAGGGGGAAGGGTTGCTCTTTGTTGTCAAACTATTTTAGTCCTCAGGGACGTGGGGAAGAGTGTTCCAAGGGTGTTACCTGAGTGGCTTTGATAGTTCTGAAAAGTTGTTAGTTTCTCCAGAGAAATATCTTTCCAAGGTCTACTGGTTGACAGAGTCTACCTTAGTGTATCTACAGACCCAGGATATGCTGCAAAGCTTGGCCAGGAGAATTGTCCAACTTGCTCTGCTCAAATCCTCTGATAAGGCAGTTGGCATCCCCTGCTGGCCTAGATGAACTGGTTAATATGTCCCCTGTGTGCATTTCGGCATGGTGTCCACTGCACAGGCATCAGCAACTAAGGAGGCTCAATCCAGATATATGGACTGCAAGTTCAGACCACACATCCTATTATTTTCTGGGATGGCTGGGGTCTAAGTCCAGTGGTCTAGTTAGGGACTCCTCTGAGAAAACTTGTCTTGAGGTGTCCTCAGACTTGACTCTTGTGTGTGCCAGCCAGTGAAGGGACAGGTGTGGTCTGTTACCTGCACCAGTCAGTGCACAAACTGGGGGATGCATCTGCTCGGTCAGTTGTACCCCAGCTCCATATCTCACATAAACCGGTTGATGAGTGCTGCAGCCCAGCCCAGCCCATCACATAGCTGGTCCTCATCTAAACCTGTGAGTGCCTAGTTGAGATGACCCCCAACAACTCCACCAAGCCCACCCCAAGTCCTGGTTTTTGTACATGTCAGCTGCTGCAACTTAGTCTGGCACAGGCTGCATCCCATCTGGCCCTCATGCACACCCATGGGTGCTGTGACCTTGCTTAGCCTGATCTGCCCCCAGACCTGGCCCTATGCATGCTGATAGGTGCTGCTGCCTTGTTCAGCCTAGCCTACCCCCAGCCCTGGTTCCTGTGCTGACCAGCAATAGGTACAGTTTAGCAGAGGAATGCTCACAGTTCCCTGGATAGGCATGTTCCAGCCCTGGAACTTGTGCCTACCAGGGGATACTACGGTCTAGCCTGACATGACTCACAATCAGTCCTATCATTTGTCAGCCAATGATGTGGCCTAGCCCAGTTGGCTCATACCCATTCTGTCTCTCTGGATCCCAGTAGGTGCAGCAGCCTAGCATAGCCTGGTCTACCCCTAGACCCAGCCCAAATGTTGGCTAATGAATGTTGCAGCCCTTTAAGAACTGGCCTGCACCCAGTCCCATCTCTTGCTTACATGTGGAAGCAGAGGTCTAGCAGCAGAGTCCCAGAGATTTCCCTACCGGGACTGCTTTCAGCCCTGGGTCTCGTGCATGTAGTGGAGGCTGTGGCCCAGTCTGAGATGGCCCTTTCCCAATCTCAGCAGTTGACAGCAGGTGCTTCAGCATAGACAGTCCAGTCTGCCCCCAGTGCAGTTCTCACAGCAGATGCAGCAACCTAGCCCAACCTGGCCCACTCCTACTGGGGGGTGTTGCAACCTAGCCCAACTGAGCATTGTTACATGGTGCAAGCAAGATCACACCAGACATGTCTAAAGTTTTACTAAGGAGTCTTTATTAACCAAGCTTGGTGATAACAGAGTATAGTAAAATAGCAGATCACAAGTTCAATCAAAGCAGTATACAGGGACCATGATAATGGAACATACTAAAATAACAGATCACAAGTCCAATCAAAGCGGTATACAAGGACCATGCTCAGGGGATTACCTGTGCTGGATCAGCCAAGAGTCAAGGTGCCAGAGTAACGGAAACACCTGACCAGAAAGAGATAGTGAGCCCCCACTTCACCGGCCTTTTAAAGGGGCTTGTGAGGGGTGTGGTTACACAACAGTGCAATACCATCTCCTCTCAGTTGATAGGTGTCACAGGTGGGCAGGAGTGAATACCTGAGTGTTGTGAGTTAAGGAGTTAATTGGCACTCATTGGGATGGGCAGGAACAGGAACTGGACTTGTAGCTGAAAAGACTAATCAGACTCATCTGCATCCAACATCCGAATTAGGACGTGGGGGAAAGAGTATACAAGGAGAGGTGAAGGAGCAATCATTGGCTGCACTCCATAACAAGCATGGCAGGCCCCCAGCTTGTCTCCTGTGCTCCCCAGCAGAAGCTGAGGCCTGATAGGGAAGTTTCCCAAGATCCCCTACCATGCCTTTTCCCAACCCAGTATCTCAGGTGTGCCTGTGGGGTGTAGTGACCCTGCTTGGCAGTTCTGCCCTCAGTCCCAGCCTTTGCATGTGCTGGCAGGTGCTGCAGCCTGGTCTCCCCACTCTCCTGTCTCCTCCCGGCCCCTGTGAATGTCAGGTGGGGTTCCTGTCAGGTGATATCTGTGCATTCCAACATGGCTTGGCCAGTTATCACCCCCAGCTCTTCATGCAAACTGGTGGGTGCTACAGTCTCACTGTGGCGAGCCCACAATTCCCCTACAGAATTTGCCCCTAGATCTGTTTCTCTAGCATTCTGGTGGGTGCTGTGGCCCACCCCCTGCTCCAACTTTCATGAACTGGTACTGTGGCCCAGTTAGGCATACCCTCCAACCCCAACTTTTGCGAGTGCCAGTGGGTGGCAGGTGATGCTATTTAACCCAACCCAAATCTCCCATGAGGGTGGGTGCCTTGGTCTGACCCCTCCTCTTCTAAACCAATTGTCTCCGTTCCCTCACCCACCTGTGAGTGCAGTGGTCTATAGGAAACCCCCAAAAGTCATGCCTCCCCTGTCAAGCATACCCTCAGCTGCTCCCACTCTAACAGGTCCCCAGCTCCCCTTCCCTGGGGAATCTGCAGCGACTCCTGTTCTCCTACCCGGAGACTGGGCTGGCATGTCCTGGTCTAACATTCCCTCTTTCCCCACTTACCTTAAAAAAAGTGATTATGGTAGCGTACAGGTATAGTTAACACAAATTTGGCATTAACCAGGCCCAGAATGTCTGCTGGCTATTGCTTGTTTTTCTCCCAGAAGTATAATGCTTGGCAACCTTGGCAGTTGCTTACAGTTGGGGTTAAAGTACTTTTTTGTGATGCTTAAACACTGCTTTTGTCTGGGAATTCCCCATCAGAAAGGGGACTTGTGTTTGCCTTGACTTTTCAATGTTTAGCTCAGAGATATGGGGCTAATGACAGACCTAATACTGATGTGCTGACTGGATAAGTGGGCAGTGCAATATAGAGCTATGTATGAAATGTTGGAATTCAGAGACCTGGGATTGAACGATGAATCTAAATATTTTCTAGCTCTGGCAGCATGAACACATTTAACCCCTCTGAACTACAGTTCTGCTGTAAAATCCATTTATTTCACAGAATGGACAGTGAGAATATAACTGTGACAGTGCTTTGGAAGCCTCCAGATCATGTTGCAGTTCCATCTTTATGGTCCCTTTTTGCTCCTAGAGTTGCATTGTCCAGTGTAGTGATCACCACTCATACATGGCCACTTAACCTAATTAACTTCCTTAAAATGATGTTGAAAGTTTGCAGAAGTTTCTCAATTTCAAC